AATCAACTGTAAAAACAAGCTGTAGTTTAAACTCACTGATCTGGATGTTAAAACTGTTAAATATACATTTGTAAAGTTTCTGAAAAATATTTAAATTTATAGAATGGATGCCATTATTGTGGAAGGTAAATAAATGAAGGGCTGCATTTAAGTGATTACTTAATTTTAGAAATATTTTGATGTTGAGAATTAAGGCAAAAAAGAGTACAAGAAAAAAAAATATGACGCAAAAGGAAAGTGCTAAAATAAAACCTGGTCACGTTGGTTAGATACAGTTTTCTGTGCGCTGTCCTTAAATATCCATGTGAATTAGTTCTGAGGACTGTGTGACACTGAAATAAGTCAGTGCATATTTATTTCAAACTTGCTTTGTGCTTTAATCCAGACTATAAAAAATGGTCTCAAGTACAATAACAACAACTAACAGTGAAAATTGTATTTATAATAAATGTTAAGTCACCTTAGGCCTATTTATTTATTTATTTTTAACCAAAATTACTTCAGTTTATCGCCTTAAAAGAAACTAACGTTTATAACATACATAAAGTGTATTTCTACACCTCATTTGTAACTTTTAGGTAAATTATCAAAAAGTTACTGACCTTGTTAAAGTGTCTGCTCAAACTTCTGCACCGCAGTTTTCTCCAAAGCATTTGTGTCGGTTTGTTAAAATCAAGAAGAAAAAGAAAAAGAAAAAAAAAGAGAGAGAGAGAGGCCAAAATGTTAAGTTTCACAACACTACCCTCTGCTGGGACACAACAAGAACACATGCACTTTTTTCTTGTTTAAAACATTTAAAACTATAAATTCGACTAAACCTTTACAACGTCATGTTAGAAAGGCATCTTTATTTTTTAACKGAGTTTAAATTCGTGTTTTATATAAGCAATTTTGTGGCTGAAGGCAGGGTTATTCCACACTACGTCTCATCCTTTTTTTAATGAGGACCGTCTCCCTCCATCCTTCATCATCAGCATCTTCCTTCCAGATGCTCCTCCGTGTTAGCTTCGCCTTGGGTGAACGTTTGAGCCTCCGCACTGAAGGACAAAAGTAAGACTAGTGCGTAATTTAAATGAACTATACATATAATTTGGTCTAAAGAGCGACATTTTTGCCTGCCATCAGTTGAATTTATTGTAGCCAGGTTAGCTAACCGTCTAGCTAATGCTAGCAAGAAATGAACACATGACGTTCTGTGGCACACGTGCCTCTTTTAACTTCCGTTTTAAAAATTAAGCTCACCTTCTGTCTCTATTTTGCTTTTTAGATGCCCAGTGTAACAGTGAAAGATGTCAACCAGCAGGAATTTGTCAAGGCTTTGTCAGCTTTTCTCAAAAAGTAAGTTAAACTCTAGAAGCACTCGGAAGAAGCACAGTTCCGTTATGCAAATAAAAGTGTGCAGCTGATAAACTGTGATTGGTGGGACGAAGTTCTTCCGGATGCTGATTGGCTGTCACAGTTGATGTAGTAATTATTTATTATGTTGGGAAACGATCAATAA